ACAACAAAGGTGGTAGTTTTTATGATTTATTTGCATGAGAAGTTGCGACTTGACTGACATGTTATCGTATCAAAATTGTATCTTGATCAATACTCAATCGCTGGATCCATGCCATGTCTGTATCGGTCAGCACTCTCCTTATGAACGTTAGTATCTGTCCATGTTCATAGGTACCATGGTCATGTTGGTTCGTGCTGTGCTCACGATTGTCAGTACCATGGCTGTGCTTCTCATTTGAATACATTATCTCATTACAGTATTATTTACATAAACATATGTAAAGTACAAAAAAAAAGTTCATAGCTACCATGCTCAATGTTGGTTCGTGCCAGGTTCAAGATTGTCAGTGTCAGGCCTGACTTTTACATATCACAGTTGCATAGATCAATACTCAATCACTGGATCCATACCATGCCCATGTCCGTCAGCACTGTCCTTATGAACATCAGTATCTGCCCCTGTTCCCATGTCAGTCAACACTGTCTTTATGAACATCTTTATCTGCCCATGTTCCCAAGTCAGTCAGCACTGTCCTTTTGAACATCTTTATCTGTCCATGTCCCCATGTTGGTCAGCACTGTCCTTATGAACATCTTTATCTGTCCATGTCCCCATTTCGGTCAGCACTGTCCTTATGAACATAGTATCTGCCTATATCCATAGGTACCATGCTCATGTTGGTTAGTGCTGTGCTCACGATTGTCAGTACCATGGCCGTGCTTCTGATCTGACTACATTATCTCATCACAACATTATATACATAAACATCTGGAAAATACAAAAAGTAAACACAGAATCTGTCCATGCTCATGTACAATGGTGGTCATGTTTGTCAGTACCCGCCCATTTTGGTTCATGTCGTGCTCACATGAAGAGATGCACATTATCTCATTACAACATTATATACATGATATGCTTAACATATGGAAAATACAAAAAGTAAACACAGAATCTGTCCATGTTTATGTACAATGGTGGTCATGTTTGTCAGTACCCGCTGGTTCATGTCGTGCTCACACGAAGACATGTACATTATCTCATTACAACATTATTTACAGGATATACATAACATATGGAAAATACAAAAAGTAAACACAGAACCTGTCCATGCTCATGTACACTGGATAGTGGTCATGTTTGTCAGTACCCGCCCATGTTGGTTCATGTCGTGGTCACATGGAGACATGTACTTTATCTCATTACAACATTATTTACAGCATATACATAACATATGGAAAATACAAAAAGTAAACACACGAAAACCAAAAATCATGTTCGTCAATACCGTGCCCACGCCACTTTGGGTCAACATGAAGCCCAATTTGGACAGTACTGAGCATATATCGGCCAGTACCGTGACCTTGGTCGTCAGTACTGTGCCCGTGTCCGTCAGCACTGTAACCATGTTCGTCAGCACTGTGCCCATGTTCGTCAGTACTGTGACCATGTTCGTCAGTACTGTGACCATGTTCGTCAGTACTGTGACCATGTTCGTCAGCACTGTGACCATGTTCGTCAGCACTGTTACCATGTTCGTCAGTACTGTGACCATGTTCGTCAGCAATGTGCCCATGTTCGTCAGCACTATGACCATGTTCGTCAGTACTGTGACCATGTTCGTCAGTACTGTGACCATGTTCGTCAGCAATGTGCCCATGTTCGTCAGCACTGTGACCATATTCGTCAGTACTGTTACCATGTTCGTCAGTACTGTGACCATGTTCGTCAGTACTGTGACCATGTTCGTCAGTACTGTGACCATGTTCGTCAGCACTGTGCCCATGTTCGTCAGTACTGTGACCATGTTCGTCAGTACTGTTACCATGTTCGTCAGGACTGTGACCATGTTCGTCAGTACTGTGACCATGTTCGTCAGTACTGTGACCATGTTCGTCAGTACTGTGACCATGTTCGTCAGCACTGTTACCATGTTCGTCAGTACTGTGACCATGTTCGTCAGTACTGTGACCATGTTCGTCAGCAATGTGCCCATGTTCGTCAGCACTGTGACCATATTCGTCAGTACTGTGACCATGTTCGTCAGTACTGTGACCATGTTCGTCAGTACTGTGACCATGTTCGTCAGTACTGTGACCATGTTCGTCAGTACTGTGACCATTCAGTACTGTGACCATGTTCGTCAGTACTGTGACCATGTTCGTCAGCACTGTGCCCATGTTCGTCAGTACTGTGACCATGTTCGTCAGCACTGTTACCATGTTCGTCAGGACTGTGACCATGTTCGTCAGTACTGTTACCATGTTCGTCAGTACTGTGAACATGTTCGTCAGTACTGTGACCATGTTCGTCAGCACTGTAACCATGTTCGTCAGTACTGTGACCAAGTTCGTCAGTACTGTGCCCGTGTCCGTCAGTACTCTGACATTATTTGTAAGTACCTTTTCCCTGTTGGTCTGTCTCTGCCATGCTGATGCTTGTCAGAACTATGACCATGTTGGTTAAAATGATCTAAAAAACTGTTAAATTCCATAACATAACCAATAATAAAATACATTAAAAGCTTTCCCGTCAACATGATAACTAAATTCTTAAAGCTAAACACTGTACATTGTATGATTCCGACAATATAACAAGCTATGTTACACAGGTTTATGAATGGAAATCAAAAAGAAAAGTTAGCAGGTTTCCCAGGACAAGTAGAAATAGGGAAAACAACAATTTGTACAAAACTTATGGACAACAACTGCCATTGTAAAACATTAACATGTTGGGTTCTGTATTGTTTTACTACAGTGGGATTACTTTGAAATCACATAACTAAACCGAACTGAACATGATCAAAGAAAAATGAAAATAATATATAGAAGCAGATAAGGCAATACAAATGGTTCAAATTAGTGAACGCAGCAATATCTAACAGGTGCGATGATACCTGCACTCCTGACAATCACTGCAGATGTCTTGACTTGTCTTGTCTTGGCAAACACTCTACTATGAATACACAATGCCATTTAGAAAGTTTTCAAATGTAACATATGTTATATTTGGGAATACACTTTCTCAGTTAAGTACAGATTCTAGTACTTTTGCTGGGTTGAGTCCCATCCGGGATTCGAACTCACACCCCCAGAGCAAGGCACCTTATGGCCAGCACACAAAGTCAGCCGCCTAACCCGTTCATTCTCCACGGCTTCCCCATACTCTGCTGTTGGAAATGAAGTGTTCCTTGAAACTGTTAGGTATTTGAGCTGTTCAGATAGGTAACTTGTCTTTCCCTTGGCAAAGAGATAATTCAGATCATTAAAAGCCTCACATCGTCATCCTGTCCCCCTTCTACAGCCCACCATCTTCGAACAGACACATCAAAAAACTTCTGGAATGATCAAATCTTGTATGCCAGGGGAGGTAACTCCAAATCACACCTGTGGTGAAGATTGGCCACTCAGTAATAATGCTCAATATTTCACGACCGTTACAGTGTTTTCCTGCCTCCAACAATCACTACAAATAAACCTACAACGATCTCAAAGAGACATCACACTTAAAATATATTGGAACAAATGTGAGGTTAAGCAATAATGAATCATTCTCACTCACTCATATTCTAGACAAATTGTTTGGAGATAGGGCCATTCCACTTATGATTGGTTCATTGGAGAATTACTGGAATTGTCCACATCATTGTGTAAGCTCTGGATACAACAAACCGTCGCAGCAAACGGCTTATTACACAAATATGAAAACTGAAAATCGTGTTTTGAGTATTTCCTAGTCTGGACATTTTTGAAAGAGAGAATACAGTTGAATTGTGATCCTCAATTTCTGAAATGCGTACAAACGATTGCATACAAGTTAATAAAATATATACGATTTTTAGTTAATTTAATATGAGACAGGAATGCATTCACAATTTCAATTTCAATGATCAATGTCAATTCCTTTGGAGATTATAGTTTATGAAGACCAAGTTTCCAGTCCATAACATCTCTTACAATACATTACATTTCAGCAGTCTCTGTCCTTGTTTTCACTAAGCGACATATCAGCTCCCTCTGACACAAGAAGGTGATAAACATGAGAGTGTCTAGATCTAGCTGCAATCATGGCAGGTGTCATGTTCTTGTAATCTCTATTGTTGATGTTGATTTTGTTCAAAGATAGTAGGTGCCTAACTATAGACATTGTACCACTCTTACATGCATACATCAGACAGTCTCTACCCATGTTATCAGTAAGTGACACATCAGCTCCCTCTCACACAAGAAGGTGATAAACATCAGAGTGTCTGGCTTCAGCTGCTATCATGGCGGGTGTCATGTTGTCGCGATCTCTCCTGTTGGTGTTGATTGTTTTCAAAGATAGTAGATGCCTAACTATAGACATGGTACCTCTCTCACATGCATACATCAGACAGTCTCTGCCCCTGCTATCTGTAAGTGACAGGTGATAAACATCATCAGCTCCCTCTGGGACACAAAGATAAGGTGATAAACATCATGAGTGTCTGCTGCCCTGCTATCTGTAAGTGACACTGCTATAAACATGGCTGGGCTGTCATGTCATGTTGTCGGATCTCTCCTGTTGATGTTGATTGTTTTCAAAGATAGTAGATGCCTAACTATAGACATGTTACCTCTCTCACATGCATACATCAGACAGTCTCTGCCCCTGCTATCTGTAAGTGACACATCAGCTCCCTCTGACACAAGAAGGTGATAAACATCAGAGTGTCTGGCTTCAGCTGCTATCATGGCGGGTGTCATGTTGTCGGGATCTCTCCTGTTGATGTTGATTGTTTTCAAAGATAGTAGGTGCCTAACTATAGATGTTACCTCTCTAACATACATCAGACAGTCTCTGGCCCCCTGTTATCTGTAAGTGACACATCACCCTCTGACACAAGAAGGTGATAAACATCAGAGTGGCTCAGCTCAGCTGCATGCATGACATCAGACAGATCTCTCTGTTGCCCTGTTATGGTAATTGACACATCAGCTCAGACCTCTGACTGTAAGTGACATCAGCTCCCTCTGAAGGTGATAAACATCAGAGTGTCCGGCTTCAGCTGCAATCTTGGCGGGTGTCATGTTGTCGGGATCTCTCCTGTTGGTGTTGATTGTTTTCAAAGATAGTAGATGCCTAACTATAGACATGGTACCTCTCTCACATGCATACATCAGACAGTCTCTGCCCCTGCTATCTGTAAGTGACACATCAGCTCCCTCTGACACAAGAAGGTGATAAACATCAGAGTGTCCGGCTTTAGCTGCTATCATGGCGGGTGTCATGTTGTTGGGATCTCTCTTGTTGATGTTGATTGTTTTCAAAGATAGTAGATGCCTAACTATAGACATGGTACCTCCCTCACAGCATACATCAAACAGTCTCTGCCCTGGTTATCTGTAAGTGACACATCAGCTCCCTCTGACACAAGAAGGTGATAAACATCAGCGTGTCCGGCTTTCAGCTGCAATCATGGCGGGTGTCATGTTGTTGGGATCTCTCCTGTTGATGTTGATTGTTTTCAAAGATAGTAGGTGCCTAACTATAGACATGTTACCTCTCTCACATGCATACATCAGACAGTCTCTGCCCATGTTATCTGTAAGTGACACATCAGCTCCCTCTGACACAAGAAGGTGATAAACATCAGAGTGTCCGGCTTTAGCTGCAATCATGACTGGTGTCATGTTGTTGTGATCTCTCCTGTTGATGTTGATTGTTTTCAAAGATAGTAGGTGCCTAACTATAGACATGTTATCTCTCTCACATGCATACATCAGACAGTCTCTGCCCTGGTTATCAGTAAGTGACACATCAGCCCCCTCTGACACAAGAAGGTGATAAACATCAGAGTTTTCAGCTTGAACTGCTATAATGACTGGTGTCATGTTGTCGTGATCTCTCCTGTTGATGTTGATTTTGTCCAATGATAGTAGGTGTCTAACTATAGACACGTTATCTGAAGTTCCATAAAACAATGTAAACATGTTGCCTCCCTCACATGCAGACATCAGACAGTCTCTGCCCATGTTATCTGTAATTGACGGATCAGCTCCCTCTGACACAAGAAGGTGATAAACATCAGAGTGTCCGGCTTTAGCTGCAATCATGACTGGTGTCATGTTGTCGTGATATCCCCTGTTGATGTTGATTGTTTTCAAAGATAGTAGGTGCCTAACTATAGACATGTTACCTCTCTCACATGCAGACATCAGACAGTCTCTGCCCATGTTATCTGTAATTGACGGATCAGCTCCCTCTCACACAAGAAGGTGATAAACATCAGAATGTCTGGCTTCAGCTGCTATCATGGCGGGTGTCATGTTGTCGGAATCTCTCCTGTTGGTGTTGATTGTTTTCAAAGATAGTAGGTGCCTAACTATAGACATGGTACCTCCCTCACATGCATACATCAGACAGTCTCTGCCCTGGTTATCAGTAAGTGACACATCAGCTCCCTCTGACACAAGAAGGTGATGAACATCAGCGTGTCCGGCTTCAGCTGCAATCATGGCGGGTGTCATGTTGTTGGGATCTCTCCTGTTGATGTTGATTGTTTTCAAAGATAGTAGGTGCCTAACTATAGACATGTTATCTCTCTCACATGCATACATCAGACAGTCTCTGCCCTGGTTATCAGTAAGTGACACATCAGCTCCCTCTGACACAAGAAGGTGATAAACATCAGCGTGTCCGGCTTCAGCTGCAATCATGGCGGGTGTCATGTTGTTGGGATCTCTCCTGTTGATGTTGATTGTTTTCAAAGATAGTAGGTGCCTAACTATAGACATGTTATCTCTCTCACATGCAGACATCAGACAGTCTCTACCCATGTTATCTGTAATTGACGGATCAGCTCCCTCTGACACAAGAAGGTGATAAACATCAGAGTGTCTGGCTTTAGGCTGCAATCATGACTGGTGTCATGTTGTCGTGATCTCCCCTGTTGATGTTGATTGTTTTCAAAGATAGTAGGTGCCTAACTATAGACATGTTATCTCTCTCACATGCATACATCAGACAGTCTCTGTCCCTGTTATCAGTAAGTGACACATCAGCTCCCTCTGACACAAGAAGGTGATAAACATCAGAATGTCTGGCTTTAGCTGCTATCATGGCGGGTGTCATGTTGTTGGGATCTCTCCTGTTGAAGTTGATTGTTTTCAAAGATAGTAGGTGCCTAACTATAGACATGGTACCTCCCTCACATGCATAAATCAGACAGTCTCTGCCCTGGTTATCTGTAAGTGACACATCAGCTCCCTCTGACACAAGAAGGTGATAAACATCAGCGTGTCTGGCTTTAGCTGCAATCATGGCGGGTGTCATGTTGTTGGGATCTCTCCTGTTGATGTTGATTGTTTTCAAAGATAGTAGGTGCCTAACTATAGACATGTTATCTCTCTCACATGCAGACATCAGACAGTCTCTGCCCATGTTATCTGTAATTGACAGATCAGCTCCCTCTGACACAAGAAGGTGATAAACATCAGATTGTCCGGCTTTAGCTGCAATCATGACTGGTGTCATGTTGTCGTGATCTCCCCTGTTGATGTTGATTGTTTTCAAAGATAGTAGGTGCCTAACTATAGACATGGTACCTCTCTTACATGCATACATCAGACAGTCTCTGCCCCTGCTATCTGTAAGTGACAAATCAGCCCCCTCTGACACAAGAAGGTGATAAACATCAGAGTTTTCAGCTTGAACTGCTATAATGACTGGTGTCATGTTGATATGATCTCTCCTGTTGATGTTGATTTTGTCCAATGATAGTAGGTGTCTAATTATAGACACGTTATCTGAAGTTCCATAAAACAATGTAAACATGTTGCCTCCCTCACATGCAGACATCAGACAGTCTCTGCCCATGTTATCTGTAATTGACAGATCAGCTCCCTCTGACACAAGAAGGTGATAAACATCAGATTGTCCGGCTTTAGCTGCAATCATGACTGGTGTCATGTTGTCGTGATCTCCCCTGTTGATGTTGATTGTTTTCAAAGATAGTAGGTGCCTAACTATATACATGTTATCTCTCTCACATGCATACATCAGACAGTCTCTGTCCCTGTTATCAGTAAGTGACACATCAGCTCCCTCTGACACAAGAAGGTGATAAACATCAGAATGTCTGGCTTTAGCTGCTATCATGGCGGGTGTCATGTTGTTGGGATCTCTCTTGTTGAAGTTGATTGTTTTCAAAGATAGTAGGTGCCTAACTATAGACATGGTACCTCCCTCACATGCATAAATCAGACAGTCTCTGCCCTGGTTATCTGTAAGTGACACATCAGCTCCCTCTGACACAAGAAGGTGATAAACATCAGAGTGTCTGGCTTTAGCTGCAATCATGACTGGTGTCATGTTGTCGTGATATCCCCTGTTGATGTTGATTGTTTTCAAAGATAATAGGTGCCTAACTATAGACATGTTACCTCTCTCACATGCAGACATCAGACAGTCTCTGCCCATGTTATCTGTAATTGACGGATCAGCTCCCTCTGACACAAGAAGGTGATAAACATCAGAATGTCCGGCTTCAGCTGCTATCATGGCGGGTGTCATGTTGTCGGAATCTCTCCTGTTGGTGTTGATTGTTTTCAAAGATAGTAGGTGCCTAACTATAGACATGGTACCTCCCTCACATGCATACATCAGACAGTCTCTGCCCTGGTTATCAGTAAGTGACACATCAGCTCCCTCTGACACAAGAAGGTGATGAACATCAGCGTGTCCGGCTTCAGCTGCAATCATGGCGGGTGTCATGTTGTTGGGATCTCTCCTGTTGATGTTGATTGTTTTCAAAGATAGTAGGTGCCTAACTATAGACATGTTATCTCTCTCACATGCATACATCAGACAGTCTCTGCCCTGGTTATCAGTAAGTGACACATCAGCTCCCTCTGACACAAGAAGGTGATAAACATCAGCGTGTCCGGCTTTAGCTGCAATCACAGCGGGTGTCATGTTGTTGGGATCTCTCCTGTTGATGTTGATTGTTTTCAAAGATAGTAGGTGCCTAACTATAGACATGTTACCTCTCTCACATGCAGACATCAGACAGTCTCTACCCATGTTATCTGTAATTGACGGATCAGCTCCCTCTGACACAAGAAGGTGATAAACATCAGAGTGTCCGGCTTTAGCTGCAATCATGACTGGTGTCATGTTGTCGTGATCTCCCCTGTTGATGTTGATTGTTTTCAAAGATAGTAGGTGCCTAACTATAGACATGTTATCTCTCTCACATGCATACATCAGACAGTCTCTGTCCCTGTTATCAGTAAGTGACACATCAGCTCCCTCTGACACAAGAAGGTGATAAACATCAGAATGTCTGACTTTAGCTGCTATCATGGCGGGTGTCATGTTGTTGGGATCTCTCTTGTTGAAGTTGATTGTTTTCAAAGATAGTAGGTGCCTAACTATAGACATGGTACCTCCCTCACATGCATAAATCAGACAGTCTCTGCCCTGGTTATCTGTAAGTGACACATCAGCTCCCTCTGACACAAGAAGGTGATAAACATCAGCGTGTCCGGCTTTAGCTGCAATCATGGCGGGTGTCATGTTGTTGGGATCTCCCCTGTTGATGTTGATTGTTTTCAAAGATAGTAGGTGCCTAACTATAGACATGTTATCTCTCTCACATGCAGACATCAGACAGTCTCTGCCCATGTTATCTGTAATTGACAGATCAGCTCCCTCTGACACAAGAAGGTGATAAACATCAGATTGTCTGGCTTTAGCTGCAATCATGACTGGTGTCATGTTGTCGTGATCTCCCCTGTTGATGTTGATTGTTTTCAAAGATAGTAGGTGCCTAACTATAGACATGGTACCTCTCTTACATGCATACATCAGACAGTCTCTGCCCCTGTTATCTGTAAGTGACATATCAGCCCCCTCTGACACAAGAAGGTGATAAACATCAGAGTTTTCAGCTTGAACTGCTATAATGACTGGTGTCATGTTGTGGTGATCTCTCCTGTTGATGTTGATTTTGTCCAATGATAGTAGGTGTCTAACTATAGACACGTTATCTGAAGTTCCATAAAACAATGTAAACATGTTGCCTCCCTCACATGCAGACATCAGACAGTCTCTGCCCATGTTATCTGTAATTGACGGATCAGCTCCCTCTGACACAAGAAGGTGATAAACATCAGAGTGTCCGGCTTTAGCTGCAATCATGACTGGTGTCATGTTGCCGTGATATCCCCTGTTGATGTTGATTGTTTTCAAAGATACTAGGTGCCTAACTATAGACATGTTACCTCTCTCACATGCAGACATCAGACAGTCTCTGCCCATGTTATCTGTAATTGACGGATCAGCTCCCTCTGACACAAGAAGGTGATAAACATCAGAGTGTCCGGCTTTGGCTGCAATCATGGCGGGTGTCATGTTGTCGTGATCTCCCCTGTTGATGTTGATTGTTTTCAAAGATAGTAGGTGCCTAACTATAGACATGTTATCTCTCTCACATGCATACATCAGACAGTCTCTGTCCTGGTTATCAGTAAGTGACACATCAGCTCCCTCTGACACAAGAAGGTGATAAACATCAGAATGTCTGGCTTCAGCTGCTATCATGGCGGGTGTCATGTTGTCGGAATCTCTCCTGTTGGTGTTGATTGTTTTCAAAGATAGTAGGTGCCTAACTATAGACATGGTACCTCCCTCACATGCATACATCAGACAGTCTCTGCCCTGGTTATCAGTAAGTGACACATCAGCTCCCTCTGACACAAGAAGGTGATAAACATCAGCGTGTCCGGCTTCAGCTGCAATCATGGCGGGTGTCATGTTGTTGGGATCTCTCCTGTTGATGTTGATTGTTTTCAAAGATAGTAGGTGCCTAACTATAGACATGTTATCTCTCTCACATGCATACATCAGACAGTCTCTGCCCTGGTTATCAGTAAGTGACACATCAGCTCCCTCTGACACAAGAAGGTGATAAACATCAGCGTGTATGGCTTTAGCTGCAATCATAGCGGGTGTCATGTTGTTGGGATCTCTCCTGTTGATGTTGATTGTTTTCAAAGATAGTAGGTGCCTAACTATAGACATGTTACCTCTCTCACATGCAGACATCAGACAGTCTCTACCCATGTTATCTGTAATTGACGGATCAGCTCCCTCTGACACAAGAAGGTGATAAACATCAGAGTGTCCGGCTTTAGCTGCAATCATGACTGGTGTCATGTTGTCGTGATCTCCCCTGTTGATGTTGATTGTTTTCAAAGATAGTAGGTGCCTAACTATAGACATGTTATCTCTCTCACATGCATACATCAGACAGTCTCTGTCCCTGTTATCAGTAAGTGACACATCAGCTCCCTCTGACACAAGAAGGTGATAAACATCAGAATGTCTGGCTTTAGCTGCTATCATGGCGGGTGTCATGTTGTTGGGATCTCTCTTGTTGAAGTTGATTGTTTTCAAAGATAGTAGGTGCCTAACTATAGACATGTTACCTCCCTCACATGCATAAATCAGACAGTCTCTGCCCTGGTTATCTGTAAGTGACACATCAGCTCCCTCTGACACAAGAAGGTGATAAACATCAGCGTGTCCGGCTTTAGCTGCAATCATGGCGGGTGTCATGTTGTTGGGATCTCTCTTGTTGATGTTGATTGTTTTCAAAGATAGTAGGTGCCTAACTATAGACATGTTACCTCTCGCACATGCATACATCAGACAGTCTCTGCCCCTGCTATCAGTAAGTGACACATCAGCTCCCTTTGACACAAGAAGGTGATAAACATCAGCGTGTCTGGCTTCAGCTGCAATCATGACTGGTGTCATGTTGTCGTGATCTCTCCTGTTGATGTTGATTGTTTTCAAAGATTGTAGGTGCCTAACTATAGACATGTTACCTCTCTTACATCCATACATCAGACAGTCTCTGCCCCTGTTATCAGTAAGTGACACATCAGCTCCCTCTGACACAAGAAGGTGATAAACATCAGAATGTCTGGCTTCAGCTGCTATCATGGCGGGTGTCATGTTGTCGGAATCTCTCCTGTTGGTGTTGATTGTTTTCAAAGATAGTAGGTGCCTAACTATAGACCTGTTACCTCTCTTACATCCATACATCAGACAGTCTCTGCCCCTGTTATCAGTAAGTGACACATCAGCCCCCTCTGACACAAGAAGGTGATAAACATCAGAGTGTTCAGCTTGAACTGCTATAATGACTGGTGTCATGTTGTTATGATCTCTCCTGTTGATGTTGATTTTGTCCAAAGATACTAGGTGTCTAACTATAGACACGTTATCTGAGGTTCCATAAAACAATGTAAACATGTTGTCTCCCTCACATGCAGACATCAGACAGTCTCTGCCCATGTTATCTGTAATTGACAGATCAGCTCCCTCTGACACAAGAAGGTGATAAACATCAGATTGTCCGGCTTTAGCTGCAATCATGACTGGTGTCATGTTGTCGTGATCTCCCTGTTGATGTTGATTGTTTTCAAAGATAGAAGGTGCCTAACTATAGACATGGTACCTCCCTTACATACATACATCAGACAGTCTCTACCCCTGTCATCAGTAAGTGACACATCAGCTCCCTTTGACACAAGAAGGTGATAAACATCAGAGTGTCTGGCTTTAGCTGCTATCATGACTGGTGTCATGTTGTCGTGATCTCCCCTGTTGATGTTGATTGTTTTCAAAGATAGAAGGTGCCTAACTATAGACATGGTACCTCCCTTACATACATACATCAGACAGTCTCTACCCCTGTCATCAGTAAGTGACACATCAGCTCCCTTTGACACAAGAAGGTGATAAACACCAGAGTGTCCCTTTTCAGTAGCCATCATAATCGGCGTTGTTCTTGATAATGTTCTTTCATTAATATTGATAATTTCACAGGACAACAAATATTGGACGGTTGATAAATGACCACTTGCACACGCCACATGTAAACAACTCTGACCTCCCAATATCTTAGCAGAGAGATCAGCACCATGTGACACCAGGAACTTGAGGATCTCCTCCTGGCCTGTCTCAGCACACAACATTGTAGATGTAAGACCTCGAAAATTCGAATCATCAATCATACCTGGAAACTTTTCAACAACAACTTTCACAATGTCTCTTTTTCCTGAAATACATGCATGATGAAGGCAACTGTTTCCTTTCCTGTCCTTCACTGACACATTTGCCCCTTCTTGCAGTAAATGGTTGAACACATCCAACTGTCCAGCCTCTGCAGCAATTATGAGCAGTGTTTTGTCTGCCGTCGTCCTTAGGTCTGCATGATATTCTCCATGATGCTTTAGCACATCAACAATACGTTGCAGGTTCCCCACCTTGCCAGCCTTTATGCACCCTGTGATACTCTCATACAGGTCTTTGACATTTTCAGGGGAGAGATTTTCCTTTTTACTCATCAGTAATAGTGACTGTCTAAACAGTAAATCATTATTAGACAGGGAAGTCCAGTATAGAAAACATTCACCAGATGTGTTGTCCTTTCGGTGGACTATATGAGGCAAGTCATTTTCCAGTTCCGTCATCAGTGAGGATGCTAATTCATTGTTTCCGAATACAGGGTGGCCTACTGTCCATCTGAAGCAATCTTCACGGATACCTTCCACTAGCCTGTCGATCATCAATTGGTAAAGACCAGAAGTGATGTAGATCATGTTTGTCACATCATCAGCTTTGGTTGTCTGTCGAGCATCAGTCATGCTTGGTTTAACTCTTTCAGACAAAAACTGAAGGGAACAGTGTTTTACTAATAAAACACTGTTGAGATTCCCAAAAGCACATGCGGCAGCATCGTGGATGGATGGATGTGAAAAGGAGGCTACATGATTCTCCACGACACAGTAGGTGCCGGTAAAATTGCTTATCTCTCTTTCTATGTCTGTATCAGTGCATGGTGCTACCTTCTCCTTTACAACATGAAACAGATCTGTGACCTTCTTGTCTGTCCCACACATCAAGGAGGCAAGGTCCAGTTTCCCTCCACACAGGACCAGGAGAATCAGAGCAGCCGATCTGCTGCTGCCTTCACGGACAATGGTGTCAAGGTCACCTCTCAGGTATGTCACTGGTTTCAGGAAAAAGTCCCCAAGACTGTGCATCTGGAACACTGGGTTGGTGAAGTACAGTTTACAGGTCAAAGGATATCCAAACACGCCGTCTTTTAACTCTGTAATAGCTTTCATGTCCTTATCGGAGATACTGCAGATTTGGCTTCTGGTCCTGAACAATGTCCTGATCTGTTTCTTTTCTTCAATGGTTAAACATGTCTTAATCATATCAACAATGGTTTCAGGTTTAAACAGATTTACTTTGAACTGATGTAGTCTTTTACAACCCTCATTCCAGTTGTAGTTTCTGGATGTGAAAATGAAGCGAAGGTTGTAGTTGCATTTTTTTGTCGTTTCATCATCACATTGCTTTTCATCTTCCTTCTTCATCACACTTTTCTTCACTTCCTTCTTTCTTTCTTCCTTGGCTGTTAGCTCCTCGTCCCGTGATAAGCGCAGTAATATATCAACCAAGGCATTGAACACTTTGTGTAATTTCTCCAAGCTGCTGGGAAAGGCAACAGAACCAAAGATATCATCAAACACAACCAACATGTCACACTTTCGCTTAATGACGACATCAATGTCAAACTCTTCAATATTTTCAACAAACAATACTTGATAGTTTTTCTTCATGTACGTTTCACAGATCCTGAGAGCAGCAGTAGTCTTCCCATCTCCAGGGGCTCCACATATTCCAACATGGCTGTGCCTCTTCAGAAGTTCTTCTGTTTTGTGAAGAGCACGGGTTTGTACTAACATGTCACTGAGTTGGTTGATCCTTATACTGAGACTCTCTGGAGAAAATGAAAACAAACTTAAAATTAAATCTGAAATTCAAAGTTTGCGAAACACTGAATACCATATTTACAACTGATATTTTTACAGAAAATCAATATTACTAAACATTGGGTCAACATGGAAGAAGCACCGGTCATTTATAACTGCGGGTCATTCATATGGCGGGTCAGTTATACAGCGGATCGTTCATATACACCAGTTCACTTATATGGCGGGTCATTTAAACAGGTCTATTTATATACAGTGGGTCATTTACAGGACAAGTCAATTATACAGCGGGTCAATTATAGGACGGGTCGTTTATACAACAGGTAAATATACTGCAGTTAAATTATTATGCGGGTCATTTATATGGCGGGTGGTTTTATACGGCTGATCAATTATACAGTGGGCCATTTATGATCAGGTCATTAATACAGCGGGTCATTTATACAGCACCCCAGTTAGACAGCGGGTCATTTATACGGCAGGTCAATTATACAGCACGTCATTTATACAGTTGTGAACTTATACATCAGGTCAATTATATGGCGTGTCATTTATATACAGCAGGTCAATTATACAGTGGGCCATTTATACAGCGGGTCGTTTATATACAGCAGGTCATTTGTACAGCAAGTCATTTATACAGCCTGCTATTTATACGGTGGGTCACTTATATACTCCAGGAGCCGTATCAATAAAGATTCTAAGAGTGAAAAATAATTCTTAACTCTGTTAATTCTAAGAATATATCCAGTTTTAATCTTAAATGTAAGATTTTTCTCAAGTCACATTGATAAAGTAATTTTACTCTTAGAATCACTTAGGTAAAAGTTACTCTAAGATATTTTTTATACACTCCTAAGAATAACTTTGATCTAAGTGTGATTTTTTAGGATTCTTAGATTGTTTCTAAAAAAATTCTTAGAATCTTTATCGATACGGCTCCATGTCAATTATGCAATAGGTCATTTATACAGCGGGTCATTTATACAACATGTCAGTTATACAGCCAGTCGTTTATACATTATTCTTGCAGCCGGTCATTTATACAACAGGTCATTTATTCCACGGATCATTTACATACAGTGGGTCATTATACAACTGGTTATTTATTTAAAGGGGAACATTTTTATGCGGCAGGTCATTTATACAATAGGTCAATTATACAGCGGGTCTTTTATACAGCAGGGCCCTTATTCTCGAAACGTTCGTAGCCCTAAGAATTCTTAATTTTGTTCGTAGCCAATGTGTTAAGAATGGACCTAAGAAGTTCGTAGGGCTACGAACGTTTCGAGAATAGCTAGCCAGGCCATTTATACAGTAGGTCAATTAAACAGTAGGTCATTTATGCAGCAGGTGAGTTATACAGTAGGTGAATTATACAGTAGGTCATTTATACAGCAGGTCATTTATACAATAGGTCATTTATACAGCAGGTTATTTATACAGTAGGACAATTATACAGTAGGTCAATTATACAGTAGGTCATTTATACAGTGGGTCATTTGTACAGCGGGTCATTTAAACAGTAGGTCAATCATACAGCAGGTCATTATACAGTAGGTCAATTATACAGTAGGTTATTTTTACAGCGGGTCATTTATACAGTAGGTCATATATACAAAAGGTCAGTTATACAGTAGGTCAATTATACAGCGGGTCAATTATACAGCAGGTCAATTATACAGCAGGTCAATTATACAGTAGGTCAATTATACAGCAGGTCAAATATACAGTAGGTCAATTATACAGCAGGTCAATTATACAGTAGGTCAATTATACAGCAGGTCAATTATACAGTAGGTCAATTACACAGTAGATCAATTGTACACCAGGTCAATTGTACAGTAGGTCAATTATACAGCAGGTCAATTATACAGTAGGTCAATTATACAGCAGGTCAATTATACAGCAGGTCAATTATACAGCAGGTCAATTATACAGCAGGTCAAGTATACAGTAGGTCAATTATACAGTAGGTCAATTATACAGTAGGTCAATTATACAGCAGGTCAATTATACAGCAGGTCTATCATACAGTAGGTCAATTATACAGCAGGTCAATTATACAGCGGGTCAATTATACAGTAGATCAATTGTAAACCAGGTCAATTGTACAGCAAGTCAATTATACAGCAGGTCAATTATACAGTAGGTCAATTATACAGCAGGTCAATTATACAGTAGGTCAATTATATAGCAGGTCAATTATACAGCAGGTCAGTTATACAGCAGGTCATTTTTGCTGAATACATTTGAATTTTTCTCCTCATCTCTATCATAAAGCGTTTTACTGAGACCTTGATCGAACAACTTCAGACCAAGTATGGTATGACAAAGAGCAGGTCATCTATACCCAAGGTCGTCATTTAAACAGCAGGTCATTCAAAAACATCAGGTAGTTTTTCTCGATTGATCCCACCTTGTGATGTACAGCCTCGATGTCCGCTGTCTCCGACTGCAATGTTGGAGGAGTTGGACATGTCGTAATGTGAAACTGAACAACCTGGGTTGAAGAAAGGAAAATAAATCCATTGAAATTAGATGTCTTGTTATCAGACTTGTACTTTGTTAATATTGTATGCTCTCCGCTGATGTGTGTGAGAAAGGGTGTAAGGGAGTGAGATACATCAAGAAATGGCCCAATTCCATGTTTACCACATTAATGGTAAATGATGAAAAACTCAGATGTGAACCACTTTGGTAAAACCAAAAAACACAGTTCTGATTCTGGCAACCCCAAAAAGCTTAATTAATGTAAATATTCAATGTGAACACAAGATCACCGGATTCTTATACAACCAAGGGATGTGAACAGTGGTGGCTTGATTCCTTTCACAGACACAGACACAGACACAGATTCAGACACACACATTCCGCACCATGGAACGTTTTGCTAAAAAGAAATACAAATGGGGTTTTTGCAAACAGCCTCACCTGGTAGGTAGTTGTGTGTGGTTGTTGAAAAGGATTGTATCCCCTGCTGGTGACTTCCCTCTGTGGCAGTGAGAGTATCTGTGTAAGGTCTAGCCACAGCGCCAACTATTGTCAGTGTTGTAGTGGGTTGTCTCTCCTGCTGTTGACTTTCCTCTGTGGCTAGCTGACTTGGTTGACACGTGTCATTATGTCCCAATTGTGTAGATCGAGGCTCATGCTGTTGAGCATTGGATTGTTTGGTCCAGGCTCCATTATTTACAGACCGCCGCCATAAAGCTGAAATATTGCAGAGTGCGGGGTTAAATAACAAACCAGTCAACCAACCATCTGAGGCAGTGACAGTGTCTGTGGAAGGTCTAGCAACAGCGCCATCTGGTACCAGTGCTGTGGTGGGTTGTCCTTCCTGCTGCTGTCTTCGCTCAGTGGCAGCGACAGTATCTGTGGAAGGTCTAGCCAAAGCGTCATCTGGTGTCGGTGTTGTAGTGGGTTGTCTCCTGCTGCTGACTTCTCTCTGTGTAAGTTTCCATCCTTCAAAATATTTTAGTTTGTTCCATATACATGTATAGCATTTCAAATTCCAAGGAAAAGGTTACTAATATTCCAACTGGTCATTTGGAGTTCAATCCAATTTTCTGGAACAGACAAAACATGTGTTTGATATTGATTGGTATATATCCCAGTCGGAACTTCATTAGAATAGTTTCTCAGGAATCTGCTCCTTGTCATATAATATAAAAGTACATGAATATCAGGTGACCCGACTCAGTGACTGTGATTACTCTGAGTCACTGTACCCTAACAGGCACCCATGAAAGGCCACCTCCTCGTGGTGGGTGCTGGGTAACGCTAAGCGCCTTTCAACCCCCCGTTGTGGACCCGGGGGGATATTTGGTCCACCAACCCGTTTGCCGTGGGTTGCGCCCCTGTGTCGGTGGAGGACGGGAGGCTGGTGGTTGAGGGCACTGGTTCCAGGAACAGTGTTCCTTTGCCCAACACCCACTTCGCCCCTTACTTCACCTAGACGGGTGGTAGAACTGGCCCGGTTCTATCAATCGGCTGGTCATGCTAAGCCCTGTACATGTAAATTTTGCTGTACAAATTTTGAAAATTATTTAGAATCATTTTGTCAGGTGTCTCGGCTCTATGATATTATATTTGTATTTTGACTGTACAACTCCAATTTAATATGTTGCCTAGAGTCCTATGTCCAGAAGGCAGTGGCTCATGGGCCAATCTGGTGGAATAATTACTTGTTGATTATTCTGCTTGAGTATATCATCCGGGTATCCTTGGTGCTGCAAGTTGGAAATCCACTTGCGATCAGCATTGTCTTTATGATACTCCATGGTGGGTGGGGAGCTCGGATGACGAATCACAATAAACTCAACATGGCTTACGAAACCCCAAACAAAAAAAAACGAAGCGTCCACTCGATACTGATGATGACGAACAGCGACCCTCAAAATCCGTTGATTACTGGCCACGTTTCCTCGTTCTTGAGACTCTTGATAAAACTCCATTGAAGCTCAATCCGTTTGCGGTATCAAAAGGTATCCACGGCATAGCAGGTGAAATGAAAAACGTTAAACGCTTGCGTACAGGAGCTCTATTGCTCGAGTGTCACAGAAAGCAGCAAGCAACTAACCTGCTGTCCACAGAGCTTTTTGTCGGAGTTCCGGTTATGGTCTCTGCACACAGAACACTTAACACCAGTAAGGGTATTGTACGAGACCGAGATCGTCTCTTTGCTGATATGACGGAAATTGACATTGTCACGGAGATGAAAGATCAAGGAGTCCTTTACGTGAAAAGGTTTACAACCCGTAAAAATAATGAAACTGTGCAAACCAATACATATCTCTTTTCTTTCTCTGCCCCGAATCCTCCACCATCAGTCAAGGCAGGTTACTGCAATGTTAAAGTTGATGTGTACATCCCAAGTCCTCTGCGGTGTTTCAAATGTCAGAAATACGGACACGGTGTTAATACTTGCACATTGTCTGTTGTGTGTGCTCACTGTGGTGAGAAGACGCATACAACAGAAGATTGTGTCAGTACCTTTAAGAAGTGTACCAATTGCGCAGGTGATCACTCATCGTTCTCAAAAGATTGTCCCATTTGGAAACAGCAGATGGAGATAAATAAGATCAAGTTTACTCAAAATATCAGTTTTGCTGATGCCAAAAAAGCTTGTCTTGAGATCGGAAATTCAGGAAACTTATGCTTCTAAAGCCAAAACGTCTTCAGAGAGAATCCCATCAGTAACTACATCATCTGTCAGCTGTCAGACGAACTTGACTTGGATAAAAACAGATTCTCCTCAGATTTTGTCACCTGCAATATCTACACAAACTGCAGATACACTTCCTGACACACCCCAACTCCAATCAGAACCATCTTATGACCGTGACACATCTTCTCAGTCGAATCAAAGGTCAAAATTAACGTCAAACGTTCAACAAATAGTTAAAAACAAAGGCAAACCAAAGCCAGATGCTTTGAAGAAACAAAGTGGCAGAGCCCCAAAGGGGCAGATGATAAAATCAAATTGTTTAACAAATACGGATCACTTGAGGGACATGGACGTGTCCGAAAACGTCCATTCTAGGGCACATAGCTTGTCGCCCTCGAAAACGGTGCGGGGTAGATCCCCAATTAATCCCCTAAAAGATAGGTCTATCTACCAATATCGTGCAGTGGAACTGTAGAGGACTCGGACAAATTTTAATGAAATACAGCTATTAATCCAGGATTTAACACCATCAGCGTTCTGTCTGCAAGAGACGTATCTGAAACAGACAGATAATTTTAACTTACGTCAGTTTGAACCGTATCATTATTTTTCCCCTCCAGGTGATAGAGCCACTGGAGGTTCTACTATCCTTATACGACAGAATGTTATTCACAGCCCTGTTGCTCTTAACACTAATCTCCAAGCTGTTGCAGTGCGACTTACTCTGGGTGTAGCATTTACGTTATGCTCTCTGTATATCCCGCCTTCATCGACACTTCAGCTGACTGATCTTCAATCACTCTATGATCAACTCCCGAAACCATGTGTTATTATGGGTGACTTAAACGGTCACAACCCACTCTGGGGCAGTACTAACATTAATACTAAAGGTAAAATAATTGAAGACTTCATTTCCAATAATGACCTGTGCATATTTAATGATGATTCAAGCACCTATCTGCATCCTGCAACTGGCACTTATTCTTCTTTGGATTTATCTGTTGCAGATTCTAACCTCCTGAATGAATTTGATTGGTCTGTTCATAATGACCTTTGTGGAAGTGACCACTTCCCAACTATCCTTTCAGAAATAACTCCATCTGATTCTCCTTCGTACACAAGATGGAACTTTTCGAAGGCTAACTGGTCTTCATTTCAAACTAACTGTAAATCAAAACTGCGACCTGATTGTTTCAGTGATATAACTGATCCCATTCAAACCTTTTCTGATGTTTTAAATGAAATAGCTGATGAGTGTATACCCAAGTCCTCTACGACTCCACATGTACGAAAACCATGGTTTAATACAGATTGTAGACAAGCCAGAAAAAGCGAGGAAAAGGCAGAGCGTTATTTCCGACATCATCCAACTGTCCATAACTTAAATAAATTTAAAATACTCAATGCAAAGGCGCGTCGTACCTTTAAACAAAACAAACGACAATCTTGGAGAAATTATGTCTCCAAAATTAATTCACGCACGCCAATGTCTAAGGTTTGGAACATGGTTCAGCGAATAAAAGGCAAAGGTTCAAAATCAGCTGTACACCATCTTAAAGATGGTGATAACTTGATAACTGATAAAACTGATATTGCAAATAAAATTGGCGAAACCCTTGCCAAAAATTCATCATCGGCAAATTATGTCCCTGAGTTTCAGAGATATCAGAAACAAAGGAAAAGACCAAACTTAATTTCGAATCAAATAACGGTGAAGATTATAATGAAGTGTTTTCATTACATGAGCTACATACTGCTCTTGAGCAAGCTCATGACACTGCAGCGGGTGATGACAATATACATTACCAGCTACTGAAACACTTACCGGAACCATGTCTGATGACACTTTTAGATATATTTGACAAAATATGGACGTCTGGAGACTTTCCTCCTTCATGGCGTAATGCCATTGTAGTCCCAATACCAAAACCTGGCAAGGATCATACAGATCCGTCGAATTACAGACCAATATCTCTAACTAGCTGTGTCTGTAAAACCATGGAACGTATGGTGAATAATAGATTAACTTGGTATCTTGAAACCAACAACCTTATAACCAATATTCAATGTGGTTTCAGGAAAAATCGAAGTACCATTGATCATTTGGTACGATTAGAATCCTTTGTTAAAAATGCAATCGTAAATAAACAACATGCCGTATCGATATTCTTTGATCTCGAGAAAGCTTATGATACGACCTGGAAGCATGGCATTTTGAGGGATTTACATGACTTTGGTTTGAGAGGCCGTTTGCCTCTTTTTATATCACGGTTTTTGAAAGACAGACAATTTCAAGTCCGAGTGGGTTCAACCCTGTCTGATCATTACAATCAGGATCAGGGTGTCCCTCAAGGCAGTATTTTGTCTGTCACTTTATTTAGTATCAAGATTAACAGTTTATCCAAGGTTTTAAACGATTCCATTGATGGATCACTTTTTTGTGGATGATTTTAACATTTCTTGTCGTGGTAAAAATATGCATACTATTGAACGGCAATTGCAGTTGTGTTTAAATAAAATAAATAAATGGTGTCTTGAAAACGGCTTTAAATTTTCCAAATCCAAAACTAATTGTCTACACTTTTGTAGAAAATATAAACCGCATAAAGATCCAGAACTATCTTTAAATGGCACTCCCATCAAAGTTGTGAAGGAGGCCAAATTCTTGGGTCTAATCTTCGACTCCCATTTAACTTTTTTTGCCACATATTAAATCACTGAAAGCCAAATGCCTGAAGGCACTCGATTTGTTGAAAGTTGTTTCAAACTCAAAGTGGGGAGGGGATCAAGCTACCCTCCTCCACCTCTATCGATCATTGGTCCGCTCGAAACTCGATTATGGCTCCATCGTATATGGTGGAGCCTGCAAAAGCAACCTAAAACTACTGGATTCTGTCCATCACCAAGGCCTAAGACTTTGTCTTGGGTCTTTTAGAACCTCTCCTGTTGACAGTCTTTACGTCGAGGCAGATGAACCTTCTCTTAACCAACGCCGTATAAAATTATCTTTACAATATGTT